AAATTGCTGTTAAAGGAAAGAAGATACACAAAAGATAAAATGTATAGTAGAATCATATCGAATGAATTTTTCAAGCTTTTAATTAAAATCGGAGAAACAGATCGGAAGATAACTGGGAGAAAACGTTTTGGTCAGATGACTCGTCTTTATAACTCTCTCAACACTGGTGTAACTGCGAGCAGACCTTAATGACCGTGTTTGAAGACAATGGCGAGACACATTTCAGGGAATGCGAGGTACCTAGAGGTACGGCTCTTCTCCGGGAAGAGATTAAAATGGCGTGTGGCGCAACGGATTATCAGATGCGTCTAGCCGGTTTCCGTTTTTCAGATTCGCGTGCTTTCTTCGCGATTAATTCCCAAGGTTTCATAAAAACGTGTTGGATGTAAATGATGGTGGGCAACTTGGCAGGAAGTAAGAGCAGTCTTCGTGAAACGTATTTTCGCGATGTTCTGACATTTCACGCGAAAGACTGACTACCTAACTCACTGTTCTCTTGGAATCGAGAAGATAAGATAAGACATCCATGCACCAAGATATATCGTTGAAAATTTTGTTCACAATAACCTACACCCCGCTCATATTTCCATCTAATCGTTTCATCAAATTCATTCCTGACATTCTTCCAGATGCCGAAATATCTTCTTATCTTCACCCTTCGAGGAAACGCTTCTCTTTTATCTCCTTTATATCCCTCGAACGTACGTCAGAATTTAGTAGCGATCGCCGTAATTTCGTGTAAACAGACGTAAGCTTCTCGTTAACCCCATTAGACCGAGGAATATGTTAGCGATCTGTTAACGAGAGGCCGGTAATTCCTGCGTAGTTTCGAAAGCTCCGGCTCAGTTTCGTGACCGAATATTGGACCGATACGGATAAGCATATAGGGATATAATGACGAGACTTGCCCGTTCGAGTGAGCTACGCACGCGTCTAACCGAGGATGCTGACGAAGATGGTATCTAACGACACCCGCTGTGACCCCATGATGTATCGATGCCTCCATATCCTTGTGTCCCAACCCCGTTCGGTATTCGCTTCGCCACGAACGACCGCTTTCAGTTCGCTCAAATTCGTGGCCTGATTGCCTCCAGAATAGCAACACCCGTTTCAGGATCGCCTGACGGAGAGGTCGAAGACGAATCTGGAATTTGGAAGCGGGTCAACGCGTCCGGGACAGCCATCTATGGGACTCGCAGATCCGATGAGAGATTGACTGATCGATGGGTGACGCGTCCGATGATATCGAAGCCAGATAAAGCCGGTAGGACGGTCTGCTCGCGCGTGCAACGGGTTCTGGAGGACCATTCAGGGATGCCGGGTGATTAACGAGGGAATCCGCCACGTTTAGAGAAATCCTTTGATGCTCGAGGGAAGGATAATATCGTATTAGGATCCATGTGAGAAGAAATCTCGATAAGTAGACTCTAAGAGTCTATTATTTATTCCGATGTAAAATGAGAAATTATATCTTTCAATTAATTTCAGAATCGGGTGTATCGAGAAGTTTGAACGTTAAAGAGATAATTGAAGGATCGCAAAAAAAAAAAACAAAAAAAAAAAAGATAAGAAAGAAAAGAGGAGAAAGAAACTAACTGCAAAAAGGTTAATTGCAAATCAGACGTGAGGGATCGTTTCAAAGAGGAATGAGCTACATGCTCGTATTTAAAACCCGTGGAAAGAGTCACGCATGATCAGAGCCGTTAATGGCGCGTTAATGGTCAGGTTTCTTCCGCTTTGAAATTATATCAACGACGAGAGTCACGATTGCGTTGCGTTCTATCGTCCCGACGCGATCGGTGGTCCACGATCCCCGGAACACGTGAGACAGCGTGACACGATGAATTTGTCACGGGTTTGGGTCACGCTACGTGCCTCGGACTACTTGCTCCGTCTTTTTCCACTTATTCCACGCGGCTCTTTACGATCCCTCTTTTCTCACCTCGGCTACCCACCGCGAGCAGCACGTGCGATAAATTTCTCAAATACAGCTACGGTTTTTACCGCCGGTTCCCGTGGAAAATACGCTAAGTTGAAACTCAGCCGTGAAACTGTGAGATTGGAACGAGTTCGATTAGAGGCTCACCGCGAGCCGTGCGAGGAAACCCGCTTCTTCGTGATTACTTTCTTTCTGCTGTACAATTTCTTGCTTGCTACTTGTATTAGAGTCCTGGATAAGTGAGACTATGTACAGTGTGGCTATGATTAACCTGCGAGTATTATCCAATTTTCAAAGGCATTATTATTCACGGATCAAATCGGAATCCTATCCATCATCTTTTCGCAACTAGTGACAAATTAGTACGTAGTGACAAATTTTCTTCGGACAGTTTTTTCGTTTAGTCGTTAGTGTAAACTAATCTCTGCACGAATAGATACCGATACGCTGCCAGAAAATACCGCCTATCGTCCCATTTCGATTGATAAATATCCTTGGTGAAACAAATTTGTGGAAGCAAGCGACGCGCCGAGTATTGCCGAGATGATATTGAATACACGACACGCATCACGCTTAATGATCCGTGGAATCATCCAGACACGATTCCATTTCCTACTTTTGATCGGCAATTAATAGCTGATGACTGCTGAGCGTGCTCCAGCCGTGTCTTCCGTTGATTGACACTAAATTGCAATCACCGATGCTAAACAGAAGGTTGTCTCTATTTAAAGCCAGTTTCATTCGAGAAAAGTTTCATCCGAGAGGCTGCTCTCCAATTTCCCGTTGTAGCATTCCAACCAACGAACAGACTCCTCTGTGGAGCACGATATTTAACGCGTTAATAGCGACACGGTGTCTTCAACCTGATACGATAACGTTCTCGATCGTTGTACACGATCTTTAACACGTTTTGTCTTTATTTCCGATCTCCGCGAGATCGCGTTAATTGCGTCGCGTAATTATTCGGAGGGAAGACGCGGCCACGACGCGGACCTAATGGGAATGGGAAATCGGTTGGCGCAGAAATCGGAACGACCACGCGGTGGTAGCCGATTGTATCCGTACGAAAGAAGCGTTAAATCAAAACCTCTTAAAGATCGTCACGGTTTACGGATCGCGGTGAACATCGGCTCGAAAATCGTTCTTTAACCTCAGCTCTTTTTTTTCCAACCGACGAACGTCGATCGAACTCGTGCCAGGGGAGGCTCGAGGGTATCAACGATCCCCGCGGGAGGGGAGGGTAGAAAGGAGAGGAGCGATCGCGAAAAACGCCGAAAGGAAAAGAAAAGAAGGTGGACTTGGGGAGGATATCGGCGACGATGGAAGCATGGATACAAAAGAGGAATCGGACGCGAGCAAGGGCATGCGCGAATCCGGGTCTAATCACGAGTTTAACGCTTTTTGCCAGATCCACGGACCTTCTTTCCGCCGGAGTCGATCGTTTTCCCACAGTCAGCATCATGCTTCATTCGCGCTCCGCTAGAATCGTGGCGGTTCTTATCGCTTTTTCGTTCGTTGCTCCTTTTTCTTCTACGTGTGTCCACGATAGTCGATCGTTCCACTTTACACGATTCCACGGGAAACTGAAACATGAAACTGTTTGATCGTTCAGCGAGACGAAGAGATGGAGAAACACATCGGATGGCTAACCCATTATTGGAGAAAGGGGGCTAGCTTTCGTTGGACCCCGTATACGCAAATCTGCGTAATTTTGAAAGTTGTACACCAAGGGGAACGAATTTTTCAATTGCCGAACGATAGAGCAATTGACAAACTTTCTATTTCAACCCAGTTTCCTTCGAGAGTCATTTTTCTTGCAATTAGTCACGTCATTCTTCCAACGAATCGATGACACGGTTTCTTGATCGATTGCCTCGCGTATCTTGCTTACTATAACTCTCGCTACAGAGTAGAGATATACATTTCGCAAGTTCACGGGTTCTCGAGCGACTCTGTGTTAAAACGTTCGATCCATGTCCCAGTTGCAACGACTAGGAGACACAATTAGTTGTTTCATGTTGTACGCATGATCTTGACTAAATTTTACCACACTGAATTCTATCCCTGTATCCCTTATTTTCCACTAGGACCAGATTCTCTTTTGATTTGAAAGCCTCTACCGGAACGGTACCGCGATCGAACTATACCGCTCCATAATAGAGTTACAAGTAGCGCACGCTTTATCTTTCACTCCACATCTTCTGCTCCGTACTAATTAAAAGTTAACGCCGTGTAATTGAAACCGCCGATTAAATCGTATCACACGTCGAACAGGCAAGAATTAGTATCAAAGGTGAGAATCGATTATACCGGCGTATCGAACAAACTTTCGGTAGCAAACTTCGATCATCTCTCGATCGTGCACAGCCTGTCAAACGTCAAATATCCCGTAATTATCAGGCTCGCGTGTTTCAACCGTTCGACACGATCCTCGTTATCGCTGATATCGTATAATTATAGTCGCAGACAGTCGTTGCTCGATGGATAAAAATCAGCGGTGCCTAAGAATCAACGATCGCGCTGTTATCGAGTCTCTGGCAAACAACAATCCGTACTTTTTCACCGAGATTTGCTCGCATCATCAGCGTCCGCGTCACCCGGATTTCATCGCGAACGCGTGGAAACGGATCGTCCGCTCTATTTTCGCAATTCCACCTTGATCTTTATCATTCCCGCTGTTTTCGATTCGTGTTTTAAACACCGTCGTTTCAGAAACGTACACTGATCGGGGATACGTCGACTGTGAAAATAGGGACGTTCAGGTTCTAGAGTTCCACGAAGATCCATGGCCGTGGCGGACAGCCGCGTCTAAATCGTAGGATACGCCGGCTGAAATTTTATGCGATCGCGTGATCACGCCTCCTCCACGTTTTCACGAGTCCTGGCTCGGATGCTAGTTTCCTTATCGCTATTAGAATTACCATTTCGCGCGAATTACTCGTAGGAACCCTGTTCCTAGTATTTCTAACGTTCCGGCTATATCTTACACTCAAGTGCCATTTCCTTTTGTAAATGTAATAATATGATAGCAGTGTTAGTTAAAAAAAGAAAATTGTGATCCTTGCGAACAGAAGTAAATTGTCTAATTGTAAGAAAATCTTTCATCTGAAACTAATTTCATTTTAATGAAACTTGCGTGTTGCACGAAGGACGACTCGATTAATTTTGCACGAGAATACGTAGAAAGTTGCTCTGTTTTCTCCTCCTTTTTTTTTTTTTTTTTTTTTGTTTTGCACTAAAGCCTGAATGTATAATGGATTAATTTTCCAGGATGAACGAGAAAGTAGAAGTGCTGAAGACAGCAGCAGACCAAGTCGGAAGTCAAGAAGCCAACGCGATCATTCTCCATGGTTCTTAAGCATTAACAACAAGCAAAAATGTTCTCATACCGACCACCGTATCGTGTTTATAGACACTGGGCCAGGTGAACGTATTGTAGTCAAGTACACGTTGCAGAGGACCACGGGCCGTATAACACATAAAACGGGCGCATAAACGAGATGCTATCGGAGTTGGGGGGAGGTTCCGCGTAATCTATCCAATTATCGTTCGATCAGAGCTGTATCCGTGATTGTTCGGACTCTCAGCCACCGGGAGAAGCTTCCACTGCCACGAAGAATCTGTGTGAAGAACCGGCCACTCTATGCGAAACGATATCAAAAACAAAAAAAGAGGAAAGTTTTCGAAAATTGATTTTATGATTGCAGATAAGAAAATAGAAACTTTCCCAAATTGGGACAAGACCATGTAGACACTGTAACAACAGCGCTACCTATATTTATCGTCTTGAGGTTAAAAGAGAGAGGAAGTTATTGGAAAATCGTGTCTACTATTTGCAAACAGCTATCCCCTTTTTCTCAAATTGCATCAATCATTCGCGTCGTTCCTATTACAAATCTCCCGGGGAACGTGGCCACTCGTCACCGTCTAGTTATCAGCGATTTATTAGTTATCGAACATGGATCCACTTGCTCCTTCGTAGGACTCGATTCACGGTGTGGTTTCGCAGGGTGGGGTCACCGAAGGTTGCGCAACTCGTGGCTATCGCACGGCGGTGCTGCCTTCCACACGATTGCCACTTTAAGTGCCCCATAATGGCAGTGGGCTCGCTAAGAAGAACGCGATCTTAAGAAACGGCTCACGGTGCCTCGGGTAGAGGGCTCGCTGGCTCGTTCGTCTCGGTTTCGCTCGGTCTCTCGTGAGGTTGGCTGTCTCGATCGCTCAGGGCCCCGCGGATGCGGATCGCCGTTGGGCCTTTCACTGGGGCCTGCGGGCTACGGGTCGCGACCTCAACGTGGTCCACTCCCTCTTCCCTTCCTGCCCCCCGTTCTTTCTCTTCTTGCCCCCTTCGCCACTCTCCTTTCGTCTTTCTTCGTCTCCCACCCTTTCCTATCCTCCCCTCCTTCTCTTTTTCACCAAACATTTTTACCTCCCTTCTCTCCTACCTTTGTGCTTTACCTAACCCGGCTCCCTTTGCCTACTACTCGCTCTTCTCTCCAGGCTTCAGCTCCGGCGCGGCGTCTCGTTGCCTCTCCCCGCGTCGCAGCTGTCCAGGATCTCTCGTAGTCGTCTATTCTTAGTCATTCTCGTTAGTAGAACCCCGAGACGATGACCAATGCAAGTTCCCGAACGATGGAACGGCTTAACTTCACCCGCCAGATAGATGCATCTGGTGCTGCAACCAGATAGATTTAGGTTATCGCCGGTTCGGATGTTCCATCGGAGGTTGACGCCGCGGAAAGGAATGAGTCCCTGGGAATGTAAGAGAGGAGGACGCGATATGCTGTTCGTGAGGCAGATGTCGGCGTAGGTTCGCGACGTTCCCGCGAGAGGAAGCGGCTTGCCCTGATTTTCGAAGCGAGCGCATACAGAGATCGAACGTACAACGTGATCACGACCTCCGCGATCGGAAGAGCTTGATCGCAAACGAGTTGCGGAATAGATCTGATGTTCAAACGCTTTCTCGTGTCTTATCTACGTTTCGCAGTTTCGTAGCTTGTCTATAGAGTGCGAATTTTCGTATGAAAATAGTTTCTGACGTGGAACAGAAGAAATAAAATGATAAAACATCTTTCCACTGTTATTGATTCGACGATTGAATTGAATATAATTCGCGGAATATAATTCAGTTCACTGGCTTAATCATGCGGGAACGTCGTACGCCACGAATGCTATAACTCCATTGAGAGGAAAGAGTCGTTGTAGCTTAGGTATCAGCTACCTAAGTCAAGTCTCTTAATTTCTCTTGGCTACGATTAACTTACGTTCCACTTCTATTTAGTAACCGGAATTCAATCGTGCATTATGTGAATTTCTTACCTACCAACTCCGTGCTTCGACTTTACTTGAGCCTCGTCGCGACTGCCTCGTTAGGAGCAACACTCGCGGCTGTAATTAACTTCGTACGAGCGGCAGACAGGGGAATTCATGGCGCTACGTGATATGATTTCTGTCATCGGTTTCTGCTGTTTCTTTCTAACTGTAGGAATGTATCTCCGTAGGAATAAGTCGTGTCATCGCCGAGTTCCGTTATCGTTGCGTAACGAGCGTCGAAAACACGCGAGAATACGCTTCGTCTGTACCCGACCGCAATTTGTTCAAATAATCCGAACGCATCGGATATATTAATTTCACGCGGCTGAGGGGCGCCGCGGTAATTTTCAAATTACAAGTTGCCCGCTGGCAAAGTTACAGGCTGTGGCCGCTCGAGACACCAGTCTTTAAGACGTTGTCTAAATAATAGTCTAATGGATAAGGTGTTCCACAGGCCGTGGCGCAGTCGGTGGTGCCGCTTCCAAGACTTGCGCCATTGTGGTTACACTGGCAACGATAGTCTATATTCCCTTACGACTAGTTTCATTCCCCTTTAAAGTGTTTTAGAGGTTCGCGAAGTGGGTGCTCGGACCGTTTTCTCTGGCAAACTGCCTCTCGTCTCTGGATCCCGGCTTGCACTTCAACGGTCGTTGCTAACCCGGTTCTTGAAGATTCATCCCGTGTGTCTCGTGCCGATGCGGCCGGGGCTCTTATGGTTCCTGGTAACGATCTTTTCCGATAGGTTACACGATTTAAACGCGAGCTGCACGTGCATACACGGTCCGATGCGGCCGCATAATTTCTAGAATGTATTTACGCGAGGGACTCGACCGATCGTCGAACGGAAGTCCTTGGTTTCTGGAAAAAGTGCTCGAGTAGTTAATTTCATTACGAGATCCTTGAGATCTCGAGCTGCTCGATGATGAGAAGGATTTCTCAAAGCGAGGAAGCTCAACGGCGAAAAAATCCCGACGCTGGTCATCGTTGGTGAAGCAAATAATCAGCTTCTCGATATTCTTTCGAAGGTACGAAAAGAAACGCGGAGCTTCTCCGCTGAGGAAGCACGATAACGACGAGTGGAGATCACAACAGTTACCTTCCACGAATCAATTGGATCGTGGCAAAAACTGACTTGTGGTATCGAATGGCGTGAAACTGCCTAAAAGAAATGCAAATATTTTCTATTTGCTTTTCTCAGCGCTGAACAGTTATTCCAATGCAGTTTTCTGTCCTCCGAAAATCGTACTTGACAATATGTCGCAATGATTTCTCGGTCAAGATCTTTCAATACTTTCCCTGGACTTATTTTCACTTAAAAGTTAAAGATCCTGAAAAAAAAGAAAGAAAGAAGAGCGATATATGGAGTTCGTTCACCTGCGTATCTCAAACGGACGAACAACGAACAATCTTACCTTGAAGGCGAGGCTGTAAAGATTGACCTTGAGATGGAAACTGCCCAGTTCATTTCGCCGATAAGTGCGTTCCGACGAAAATGATTGTTACACGTCTGGGTTAACCAGCCATGAAAGATCGTCGTAAAAGAAACGTCAGGTTTAACGCAATTATCTTCTCGTCTCTCGAACACTGTAGTGCCTGTTGTCACTGGCCACGGCGTTGCTCGTTAATTCTGTTAATTTGTGGTGCAATCGAATGAGAATCTGGAAACGTTATCTTCAGCTGGATATATCCCAAGTGTGTTATAACGTTGCTCTCTCTCTCTCTCTCTCTCTCTTTCTTCTTGCGTATGAATGGATTCAGAAAGCGGCGAGAAGAATGGTGAATTGCGTAAGGATTTCTCCCACTTTTTAATCTTTTTTTTTTTCTCATCTTCGTATTTCGTGAAGAATTACCATACAATTGAGCACACAGGCGAACGTTTGAAATTGTAACGGGTTCAGGTTTATGATGTTGAACAGCGTGAAGCGGTAAATAATAGGCGGTTAATTTGTGACTGCCATCTGACGCGCAGCTTAGCGCGTTTACTTACGGTTTCCGGCGAGCAAGAAATCGCGCCGTCTGATAATCATCTGTAGCGTTATCTGGCTTACGATCACGAACCGTGTCCCGCGTCCGATACGGCTAAATTAGTTCTGGGAACGCGATTACCCGCCACCATGCAAATTGAAATAACACGAAGCGCTACGCCCCTGTATACGCACGTGTGTGCATATGTGTATGCCTATACGTATGATATTCGTTCATTTTCGTCGGCTAATTACACTCGATGATGTCGTGATATTTGAATCTTGATTAAACGATGTACGATAAGAATAAGTACACGACATAGATTTTTAATACGTTTCACGGTAGCGCACGTCTGCTTCGTGCATGTTTCGAACAGCAGAGTCAATTGATATCGGGAGATTTATAAATGTATCGGGCAGGTCAGAGACATGGCATTAATCCTCGAGCATTTAATAACCTAATAAGATCGCTGGTAGCAACGATAACGACCATCCACCGATCGTGTAGCAAAAGGATCCTCGAGAACCACCTACGGCTCTTTCATCGTGGTAAAGACACGCAGCAGAACAAATTGGGGCCCGCCGGGTTGTTTGACAAATTTCGTCTAGCGCCGCGGGAGAGTGCCTTCTAATATCCTCCCGGTTGATTCTTCCTTGTTCTCTTTCTTATCTTCTGTCCCTCTTGCATCTTCTTCTCTGCCCTCTGTTCGAGCATAGTTGGTCCGCTGCCGCCGCCGCCGCCGCCGCCGCCGCCGGTCATCCTTAGCATTCGTTGCACGACCACTTTTCTCCAGCCTCCAGCTCTCTATGAACAGGTTCGTGTGTTCCGTCTGGACGTGTGTGCAAAAGAATCTGCATGTGCATGTATATGGACGCGCGCGAGCACGAGCTGGAACGCTCGTACTGGAGCGTGCAGTGCATACTAGCACGATAGGTGGTAGGACGTGGAGGATGAGGCCTTCCTTGGTTCTGAAGAAGGTACCGCTATCGCCCTCTGACCTCTCGAGGCGAGCGAACGAGGCCTCCTTCCACTGGCACCGGTAATTTTGCCTTCGGTCCTGGCTTCCTGGTGCTACCCAGATCTAGATCATCGAAAATCGGAGACGAGGGTCTCCCAGGTCTCGCGAACCTGAGGATCAGCGCTCTGGTTCGATTTAACCAAAGGGACTCGAAACTCTCTTGCACGCGATATTTCGATCGCCAGAGAGATTCGGAGAGTCGATAGTTTGCTTCTGTCTTTTTGTTCTTCTCCTGCTATTTGGCTCGGATATTCTGGCGTGTGTAATATGTCGCTCTGTTGGATAGAACTCTACTAGATCGATTTACAAATGACACGCGGAAGAGAAAGTGAATGAAATGTTCGTTAAAAGATAGTCTGCGAATGGAAAGATTAGTTGGAAAACGAAAATCAGATGGTGGGAGCCATCATTTCGTGGACTTTTCTCCGTGGGAATGGAACATTTACGAAGTGGCGTGGAGCAGAAACACTCGCATTCCGAGGTAAATAGCGAGCGAGCTGGCCAGTGCAACAAAAACATCGGACGTTAGGCGAATTCGAGATGAGAAACCGTTCCTTTCGAGAGAGAATTATTCAAATTGCCGATGAACCCGCCAGTCAGAATGGTGTTCCGCGGCGAGCACTGTAACAAGTACGTAGAAGCGCGCGCGCGCGCGGGCGCGCCAGCGAGCAACCGCTCGAGAACAACTGGAAACGAGGAGCTCTGCAAAGGAAATAATGTCGTGGGATTGTTTCGTGCGCTATCAAGGTTCCGCCGAGTTATTTCGACGCCACCCATCCCTCTGGACACTGACTAAATGAATGCGTCGTTGGACATCGAACGGTAAATGATTCGAATAATTAAAAATATAAATTAAATTAAAAATTGAATAGAAGGTGAATAAGTATCGAAGAAATCTACTGACAGTATTGGAACGTAATAAGGATTCTGCAAAAAAATCTGATATAAAATATTAGACGTTTACAATTGCTTAACTGAAACATAAAACGGGAAGAGAAATGTAAAAACCGGTGTAAAAAAAATATTATGCCTTGAATAAATAACTGGAGGCTAAAGCTGTGTAATATTTTGTCGAAATTAGTTGCGATATGTTAATAGTTTGATTTACCAATTGTAAGTTGTATTGAATGTATAAATCATGTCTATAATGTCAAGATTGAAAAACGATATTCTCGAGGATGATAATCATCGTTATCCATGTATATTACCCATATATCTACAAACGAGTCAATCGTTTGCATGTACAGGCTCATCACAGATTAGTACGATGACTAATCCTAATATCCGGATATCGGGACAAGGGTAACCACTTTCGGGCAATACCGAAATAACGGTTATCGACGAGGAGGCAAATTAACCTGGTCGGCTTCGAGACCGCTACCGTGGTAAAAATCGCAAATCACAATGGTCGATCCTTAAGTGGCTGAGCGGCATTTAATTTCACTCGGCCTCGCTGTTTTCGCCATATAATTCCGATCGTCGATACCAAGCCGCGAACAAAAGCGTTCCCGCGCGAACCTTGGATAAATAGCAGGCGTGAGCGTCCCCTGGTTTCCACCACGATTTAACGGGAGTTAATACTGTAACAAGGACAACGAGCGTGTGTAATTTCTTTATCGAGCCCAGGACGAAGTAAAATGTACCAGGAAATTCGAATCGTATGGTTACAGAAACGATTACTTATTATCTTCGATGGTGCTGAATACGTGAAATTGCGTTTCTGTTTTACGATTTATTCAGGATATTCTTATAAATTTGATAACGACGTGATATACGGTATAAGCGCCCGAGATCTTTTAAGCTTCGCTCGTGAGAAAATAAGTATCTCGTGTAACTCTTAACAAGATCTCAGTAACTTATCGAAGTGTAAGACGTGTTTTTACTTCGAGCCAATTAACTCTCCAATTTATGCACCGTCCAAGTGTTCTTACTACAGACAGAATATTACCCGAGAAGTACCCCTTTTTAACACCTTTTTAGCTGGTACGCTGATGCAAAAATAAATGTCACTTTTTTCTTCATTTAGGAAACAAACCGATACGAGAACCAATATCGTAAGAATTTTAATACCGTTCTAAAAACCAATACGAAAATTAATAACCGTGGTCATAAGACGCAATTAAAAGCAGAGGACATTGGGCGACCAATTTTCGGCTTAACAAGCTTCCTTTGCAGACTAAATACGATCAAATTAGTGTCCACTCGGTTCGGTATTTATTTCCGGTCATCCGGATGCCAGTAAACGTTCGCGCGGATTGCGGACCGTTCGGATTCCCAGGCGAAAACGAGCAAGAAATGACTACGAATCCCGTCCGGAAAGTGATCATCGTTGCCTCGAGTCACACGATTAAGGACGCCATTCCCTGTTCCCCCCCCTTGGTCTCGCGACCAGAAGGAAAGAAGTTTCAAAAACGACCCGGTCGAGTGTCATCGTTGCCAGGTAGAAGATAAAATCGGCCAATCTACACAGAGTCCCTTTTTCTCTCATTCTAAGGTGAGCCGATAAAAGACGCTTTATACGAACGTTACTCTGTCCACACGGCCGGGGACAGTGAAGAAAAGAGCAGTGACAAGAGGGAACGAGGAGAGGACGCGATCCGAACAGCATAGAAAGAGAGAAAGAGACGTTCGTTCGTTTTAATCGCTAATCGCCAATTACGTGGAGCGTCCCGCGCCCGAAACCCCCAGAAGCATTTTAACGAGCCGCCGTGTCGCCCGGCCCGGAATTTTACTTCTGCCTGGTCAGCTTCCAAGCGTCCTCCGAACCAGAGGCCACAGCGCGTTCACGATATCTCTCCTCTCTTCGCTCTCGTTTTACAAACCTTCTTTTCTTCGTCCGTACGACTGAGTCGCCCCTTTCTGGCTGTCTCGGTCTTTACATAGGACTCGAGTCTTCTCTTATACATATGTGTTTCTGTGTATGTGTGCGCGCGCCCGTACCAATTAGCGCATACTTCGGCCCTCGGTGTTCGGCTGGGCCAACGTTGGAGCTGTCGGTCGCTTTCGGTGGCTGGAGAGTCCAGAACAGAAACCGCGACCACGGAATGGGACGAATCGTTCCAAAGTTGTTGTTCCACGTTTCGGCATCTTCTGAGAGAGAAAACTGTCGCGCGATTCTTGCGGCAGGTTGTAACGGGCGTTGGACCTGTTCGCAAATAGGTTTAAACGATTAGTCATGAAAAAAGAAACAGGGATGAAGGGGGAAGAAAGAGACAAATAAGAATAGGGATGTAAAAGGGAAAGAGATTAACCTAGGGTTAAGGATGTTTCTAATATACTTGACGATACCGAGTAGCGGGATTATCGCGCGAATAGCGGAAAAAGGGACGGTTTTGCTAAGACTTTCTTTTAGATTTTCGTAACGGTTCTGGCAGGCTGTTTCGTGGCGTAAGATTAAGTATACATCACTGTGGGAGCTAAGTAATAACTGCCAATGGAATTAGAGACGCTGTACGGTCGCGTATGCTGGATGGGATATACGTGACTGTACGTCGAGGCGATTTTTATCGGTAGACTGATGATGGGATATCTATAGACACGGAAGCGAGATATAGGAAGAAAGTCGTTGTGTATCGGTGTTTAGATTCCCCTTGGGGAAAATTATCGTAACAGATAATCCATCGGTGCGTTAACTCGATGATGCTAGGAATTCGTAAGACTAAATGCATGCATGAATCAGCCATATATCATACTCGCGATTCAATTGTTACACACTCGAGATCTGTCATTTACTCTCGATATATTGAACCTCTAAAAATTCCCAGTATCAAATATCTAATTACCTTCAAAACCATTTAACATCCAAGATGTCCTGTTTCGGTGGTCGCGACCACCAAATCTATATGGTCGAAATGCTGATTCACAAGTTGACGTTGACACAAAGTAAACTCAAAGACATCGGTGAACATCCAATCGCGGTGAAGATCTCATTCCTCGATTTCCCCACGTTCGAAATCACGCGGGAAGACTTTTACTCGGTGAAACCACCACCTCTCACCGAGGATGGTACCTTTTACTTCATGATAGGTAGAAGTTGTCTGTTCATCAAGGAACCGAAAGATCTGGTAAGGGAATTACAAACCAGGATGACAAAGGTCGGTGTCTTTCGCTTCGGGGACATGTATCCCATTGCTGAGACCGAAATAACATTGCCTGGATGTTTATGCGATCAAGTAGCGATGGCTCAAAATGATCCGGAAAATCTGCCAAAACCGTTTAAGGTAAAAGGTAGCTTCAATCTATTAGATCCTGGCGAAAACCCATCGGGTTCGGTGGAAGTGGAAATGAGAATGTCGTGCTTCGGTCGATCGTTCATGACCCACTATGAGTTGCATCCTAAGTTCTTTACCTTCAGAAATAAGGATCAAGAAAGAGAGTTCTGTGTTAGGCGCTTGGTACCACCTAGTTATCAGGAAGGCGTTGCCAAGGATATTTCAGAGTATCTAGATAGAACGACTCTGGATGAATTAAAAGGAAAGATAAAAGAAAAACCACCAAAGAAGAGAAAAGGGTTGAAAGGTAAAAACCGTAGGAAAGGCAGATGACAATTCTCAAGGAATTTATAAAACGATCACTTGATATACAAGAAATTCTGTTAATATGAGTTACCATGGTGATCATTAAAGACTCAACAAAATAAAATACAAAACTGACCGATTTGTGTGGTTAGACCATAAAAACGACCCAAAATTAATGGCGCGTCTCGACTAAAAATCTCTCCAGAAGTTCTCGCGAGTTCGCGATCTTTTTTTTTCTAAATTCTCGTGCGACGAATACCGAGCAAGACAGAACGAAAAAATGGCTCTACAAAACAAGATCATAAAATTCAAAGAGGAACAGCTTTACATGCTCGAGGTGTTCGTCAATCAAGTGACTTTAAATCCTGAAGTTCCAGATAACAATGTCAAAGATTTGCTTGTATGCGTGAGATTCGTCGATTTGCCAGAATATGAGATAAGAGTCCCTCAAAAAAAAGAAGCCGCCGATCAGGGTTATGGATCATCTGAAAATTCTGAATTTAGAAAATCGTGTTTGTTCGCCAAAACGCCTAGTTGTCTTATCAAAGCCATAAGATGGTCACCTGTGTATTTAGATCTGTATCGCAAAGACGTTGCTTGCTCAAATAAAAATGGTGTCTTTTTAGGAACAGCAAAATTGTCTTTGCCTGCCTGTATGTGCAAACAAGTGATTGCTACGAAGAATAACAGTGACGGTCTATCTACACCATGTATAGTTAAAAATTCGTTTGATATAACCGATTCTAATGGAGAAACGTGTGCTAATATAACCGTAATCTTGAGACTATCGTGTCTTGGAAGCGCCATTGTCGAGCAATTTTCTTTAAACGGAAAATCTTTTATGTTGGAGGATTCACCGCTTCAAAAATTCTTACGCCCTTATATTTTTCCGAAAAGTTCAAAATTTGAAAAAGATTCGAAAGATGAGAATGCCCCGGATAAAGATATGATAATGCCTCTATTAAAACGACCAGAGTCTCCTCCACAAATACCAATGGGACATCCGGCTTTCAAGACTCTAACCACCGCTGAAAAACTCAACGATCCTAAATACCGAGAAATGGTATACAATGCCTATCCAAATGAGCCAACGTGCGGTTGCCTGCCCAAAAATCGTTCGACACATCCAATGATTTGTCCCTCAGGTTGTACGTATTGTATGAAATTAAGAAATCCTGATATATTATCCAAAGAAGAAAATAAACGCGAAGACACATTAGTTAATACTCACTGCGTGAACAATTTTCTGCCTGCGCTGCACACGCTGAAGCAGGATCCCCCATGCAACAAACTATCTAGATTAAAAGGCGGTGGAGATGTAGAGCAAATTTACGTAGTTCCGACTACTTTCAGATGGATTGACTACGATGTTGATTACGCTTGGTACGATGAGAAGCATAATATGGCAACTCGATTGATAGGTGGCGGTGAGGAGAAAGATATGTTCAATTGCAGTTGCTCAGGTAGCCCAGTTCAAGTTCTGTCACGAAAAACAGCTTCCAGAGATAACGACGTGATACCCATCTTCGATGCTTGTACGCCTCGTATAACGTCCACTGGAGCAACCCCAGCTTGCATTTGTCCTGGGAAAGATGCGAAATTTCCTAGAGGAGCTGCAAAATGTATGAAATCACCGTGTTCAGGGATAGACTGTTTGATTCGAGCTTTCAAAGACGCTCAGGATTTTGTGGATTCCATTGGAAAAGTGCCAGGATTACCAGGGCTTGGTTTAATGGATCCATCGGAAAGTCCTTATTTCGGCAGAGACATCGATAAAGACTACGTGCCTCCGGATCGATCAGCACCAAAGAAAAAGGCACCGACTCTGCAAGTAGCAGCAACTCCAACATGCACCGCTCCCTGTAGCATCAAACTTATCGACGATATGCATCCTCAAGTTGCTCCTTATTCACCACCGATTACTCGAGGAATCGTGCCACCTCGGTTAGGAATTGTCCGCGAGGCTATACCTGTTTTACCGGAGGCCGGTTTAACAACTACGCCTGTGAAACATAGAAAGAAGGAGGAGAAGAAGGACGAGAAAACGGACAAACAGAAGGAACTGGAAGTCACGTCGTCTGCGCTGATGGACTCGGAGGTGGGTCCTTGCGGTGAACCGAGATGCAAATCGAGAAGAAGAAAGCCTCAGGATAATAGTAGTGTGACGCTGAGTGCCACTTATATCTCCTCCAAGACGCGGACCGGCGTAAAGCGTGCCGCTGCTAGTCCGAAAGCTCGTCACAAAGCGAAGAAGAGTTTTAAGAGTGAATTGAGGCGTCATGGCCCACAATCGAAGCACGTTGATGTGGATCTGTCGATCCGCGATGCTAAGAGTTGGCGTTCTAAAAAAGTTACTACCAAAAAAAAAAGAGAAAAATCTCTGGGCCCTGGTGGCGATCGCCACGTACCTGGATCAGCTGTTATCTCGCAGTTGCCGATTCCAGTCAGCAGACCGGTAATGCGATACGTTTATTTCGTCGGTGACTATTACCCTGGAATTCATTTTGGTCATCGAAACTGCATCGACATACCCATGAGAGTGCCGGCTAACATGGGTTGGTTATGGAACACGATTGACACGGCGGCAAAGTTGAAACCGCGCATTGGTTGGAGACCGGGTGCCATTGGTCGCTACTTGTATGAAATGCTGCAAGAGGCGAAGGAGATTTCCATTGAAGAGCTGGAAGAAGAAAAGGCAAGAATTGCTCGAGCTGAACGTAGACGAACCGATAGAATAACCGATCGTGTAAGGATCGATCGTGGAAGAGCCGATCGTGGAAGAATTGATCGCGGAAGAATAGATCGTGGAAAAATTGATCGTGGAAGAGTAATCGAACGCGCGCGCTCGGTACCTTCGCGATCGAAGAGTGTCAGTAGAAGACAGAGAACCGGAAGGACTATAAGTTACCAGGCGATGCAGAAGCAATCAAAGATGGAGGGAGCAGAGGAAGGATCAGAATTTCCGCCGACGTTACATATTCACAGGAAAGATGGCATTTATTACGTAACGATGTATCCCATTAGGCAAGAAACACCAGCCGAACCTCGTTTGTCTGAGCCAATGAAACCGTTGCAATTTAAGATCGTGAAGAACAAAGATGATGCTTCTGGCACGTCTAGCTCGACCGCGTCCGACATGGAGATCGAATTCTCTCCTCCCGCGGCGGTAACCAGGCCTCGTAAAAAACCTGATGTTATCCACGTTGATACTCAAGTGCGTCAGCAGGAAATTCTAGACGCGTACAAAACAGAAGATTTTAAGAGAAAGGGCCGAAGAATAACTAGAAGGAAGAAAGATTCAAAGATTTAAAAGTAAACGGTTAAAATGTAATGGTAAATAGTGAAATTTGAAACGTATAATATGATTGTTAGCAGAAGCTCTAGTGGTGGAAAATAAAAAGCAGATTGAAATTTTTAGAACGGCGATAAGGAAACGTTTGCGAGAATACACTAATACCGCATGATTTATTCTTATCTTACCTAATGTAAAAAATAGTAGAATGATTTATACATTTCTCGAACGTAACGACTTCCAATGCTAGTTTGAGACTGCGCATTTCAGTTTAGTGTCGAGTACGGCATCTACAGGTATCCGGCGTGCGCATGTTCATCGAATTATTACCGACGGGAGTTAAATAGTTGCATTAAATCGAATATCCGTCAAAAAATGGATATCAGAGAACAAGAAAAGCAAAATGAAAATATCCGTCAGAGAATGCTCGATGTGCAACAATTACATATAACGGAATGTCCGTCAGATTCACCGTGGATCAGACCCGTTCGAATACGTTACCAACAAGATGGTGAACAGAAAGCTTGGGATGTGGTAAGAGCACACGATGGTGTGAGTATAATTATTTTCAACATCAGCCGGAAGAAACTTGTATTTGTTCGGCAATATCGCCCGGCGTTTTATTATACGTTTCTGCCAGAGAAACTTGGTCCTGTGGATCTTAAACAATATCCGCCGTCATTGGGTTTAACCTTAGAACTTTGCGCCGGTATTGTGGATAAAGACAAATCATTTGTTGAGATTGCAAAGGATGAAGTAAGAGAAGAATGTGGATACGAAGCACCTATCGAAGCCTTTAAATATGTCATTACTTTCAGGTGTGTCAATGGCAAAGTTATAACTTATTGAAATGCTAAAATTTTGTTGTATAAGTTGCGAACTAAAAAGCTATTAGTATTTCATTTCGTGATGTAAAAAACAATGTGTAAGTGAAATGTCATTGGTTGTATACATGTGTGTGCCATTTTATATTTTTGTGATTGGATGTATTATTTTATCCTGTTTATACATAAAAAATGTTTGTCCATATTAGAAGTAATAATAGTAATAATAATAATGACAATAAATATATGTTGTTAATAATCTGTCATGTTTAGTTATTTGTTTTGTTATGTATTATAGATACGTTTCCACTTCGGTCTGCAAACATACACTCTTTTATGTGGAAGTTACTGATGAAATGCATACACACTCTGGTAAGCTTAATTATAAATATAATTGTTTTTAACATTGCTCTATTTTTAAGATCATAATACTAGAGATAATGATACAGGTTTTAAGTAAATATGTAATATTTAATGAAATATCTTTAGATTGAAAAAAAAAATCTTACGTTCCTTAAGTATGGGTGATTTGTCAAATTAAAGGAGGAGGTGCTGCATCTGAAGGGGAACTGATCGAAGTGGTGGAATTAAGCATTCCAGAAGTAAAACAATACATCAGTTCTGAGGAAGTTGAAAGTCCACCTTGTTTACTATATGGTATAACCTGGTTTTTAGCTAACAAACCTGAACATTGTTCTTAATTTAAAATCTTTATATTATTAATCAGATTTTAAATAAAAAGATTATCCTTTAACTGAATTTATTTACAAATAACACGTGTATTTACACAAGACAATGTAAAAGAGATGTGTGATTAAGAATGGATGAATTTGCATAAACCAATATGAAGTTAATGTTCAGCTTCATCTTTTGTGAACTGGGAACTAACCCAAGCAAGGCCCCATTTTAAATTAGTTAACAGAAATTTCAGTGCCTTGGTCCACTGTTCTTCCGAATTAAATTGAATTCTAAAACAGAAAGCATGTAATGCGCGATTCAAATAGATATAATCGGGAAAAGCATATTAATGTAAATAATAGTTACTTGATGGAATAAGAATTTCCTGTTGCAGAGTCTTCTATTTTTCCACGGTCCATCCTATATGGAAGACAGAATCCACTGTCTCCTTTTTCCACCTGTTCCTTAAATTGTTGCAAACAATCGAGGAATGCTACCATTGCTGCATCGAATTTTGTGTCCCATAGGAATTTAAATCCTCCACTTCCATATAGTGGTAGTTCTCTATGTTGATCTAAAGCTTCAATATAACTGTGATTACCGAATGGTACTAGACGAAAACGTTTAAATGTGAGATTCATTTTCCTAGCAAGAGCTGTTAATAGCAAAGTGGTCTGTCCCCAAGCAGCATTTATTTCACTCCAGTCTACTGGTGCACTTGGTAATCTACCTAACCGGAAAGAATTTATAGTTCCAAAATGTCCTGAGTGCCAAATATGAAATGTAGCATTGAAAACATTTGTTTTCTTCAGTCTCTCTAGTTGTGAAGCAGCATAAGCTAACTGACACTCCAAACTAAACAAAATTATTACTGTTAATGAGACAGAAATATAAAAGATATACTTAAGGCAACAACATGTTATTATTACCTACGGTATTCATCTTCTGCTAATATGAGATCTCTCTTATGTTTTGAATATTCTCTCCAATACCTTTCTTCTTCACTTTGTAATCTTTCTCTTTCCCTCTCTTGTTGAGCTATGGCATTTCTAGTTGCAATTTCTTCTTTTCTTAATGCCTCTAATTCATTTATCATTCTCTCTTCTTCAGACTTCACATCCTGTAATTCTTTTGTGAGAGTTTCCATTTCTACATCTTCATGACCCTGATGTTGCTGTTCTATTTCTAACTTTTTTAAGTACTCATTATAGTCTGACCATTCTCCTTCAGTCATTCTTAATTGTTGATCCATTAACAATAAAAGACTATCCGCACATTCATCACAAAGTGGATGATCAGCAGAACTACTACTGCTAAGAATATCAAATAGTGTTGCTCGTACCTTAAACAAATAATTTATATCAGTAATAACTAACAAGAACTAAGATTGCATTTTACTAACTAATTTAGTAACTAAAGTTTATGTACCTTTAAATGGTGACTTAAACTTTCTGTTTCTCCAGAATCTCCAACTAACATAAACCCATTTGTACCATTTGCAGATTCAGTCAATTTAAATGGTGGTACTAAATGTTCTATACTTGTACTCTGATGCTCTAAATCATTCACCACTTGTTGTTGGATAGGAACTATATCGAATAAACAACTTAAATAAAATATTAATGACACAACAATTGTTTTAAACAATTAAAACAGATGAATATAATAACTTGCAATATATATATATAAGCTACAAAATATTACAGACTAGTATAATTCAAAGATACAATTAAGGGGGAAAAAATGTTATCTCATTTTTTCTTCTAAAAGGGGAAAAATAAGCAATAGAACTTAAAGAGTCATATAGTTCGAAATAGAAATTACCTACGTGAAAGTTCTGCTAGCGCGTGTTCTTCAAGATGATGAAAACTCTGATCTAGTCTAAGAGGTTGTAAACATCGCTGGCACGTAAAATTCACATTACTTTTCATATCAACCATTTTGATATTTGGTTATTGAAAAGTAAGTTCAGCTTCCAACGAACTCGCACGTACACTATTTATAAATACGCATTTGACGCTTGGAAGACAGGGTCAGCTGATTTTACTTCTATGATATTCCGCAAGGAGGCGTCGATATTCGTTTGTATTTTCTATTCGATTTATAGGATTTAGTTTCTATAAATAAAATTAAAACCAAAAAATGTCAAAGAAAATTGAAAATTAAAAATTATATATGGAAAAAGGGGAAAGCGTACAAATTAATACTTTAGTTTATTTAAAAATATTCTACCGTACATCAATTTTTATAATTACATTAATTTATAATCACAAAAGAAATAAAATTAACATCGATTATGATTTTTTATTTTTTTTAATTTAATTTCTTATTTTAATATAATTTAATATACGATTAATTTAATAATTTTCATAAAAGTATTATTTATTGAAGTAACCAGGCTGGCCAACGTCTCCGATAATACCCTATAAATTTCAACTACTTGGAACAAAACATGCACGTCATCTAGAGGTGATTTGGAAAAAGAGCACAGATTTGTCTGTTTTATCGAATTTCGTGAACTGGAAGACTGTGCATTTTGTCGCTGTAAAGAAAAGATTTAATTTTCAAGATTATGATTGATCTGATCATGAAAAAAAATTGTTCAGTGACGGAAAAACTTCTCTTTGATAAGATGTTAGAATTTTTACAATTTTCGAAAAGAAAAGTATTCTTATATTTACATTTGCTGTATGATATAAAAATAAGTATCTAAGTAATGAAACAAACTCAGGATTATTAAAATGGAGACTTCACTTTTTCAAATAAAATTAAGTTAATTGTTTTACAGATTTTTTTACGAAATTATAACAGTTTAAAGTATTGACAATTGTTCATCTAGTGTATAAATATTTTTGTCCTTTTTTAAGCATTTCTTATGAATTTTGTGAATTTGATTTAGACCAGAGTTCTTTATTTTTTATTCTAAGTTATCTCGTGCGTGTTATAACGCGCGATTACAGCGCCCAACGGTGAAATACGGAATACACTTCCTATGATTTTCGAACATAATCGATATTTCTCACGATCGATTTTTAAACAGGAAATATGGCGGAAGAAGGTACAGCTTGTCTGTAAAGAAGAAAATATTATTCAGAAAAATCATTGAGAGAAAAGTATTGTCCAGAAGTTCTCAGGTAAAAATTTAAATCAATAGCTGTTAGATTTGTGTTTTGAATTTTTAAGATAAAACGTGCATTTTTGGCTCCAACTCAAGGTAAGAGTTAACCAAATAATTATTACATATAATTTTCAACAATTATAGTAATAATTGCATATAAACACTTAAACAGAACATACTATGCTAAAAATTATTTTATAATGCTAAAAGTTATTTCATTTTATATCAAAATTTCATTTCTATTCTAACCCCATTTTCATGGTGACCTTGTAATATGATTACCTTTTTTATTATATATATATATATATATATATATAATATGCTTTTATTTTTATTGTAACATTTTCTATTCATTTGCTTATTCTTTAATCTCATATTGCGTCATTCTTAACAATTGCAATAAGTTCAATAATAATTTATTGAGAATGTACGTATTTAATGAGAAATAATAATTCTACTGCGTAATGAATGAAATTTCTCATGTCTCAATTTAAAGTATTGACAATTTTTCATCACGTTTGAGTATTTTCGTTTCTTTTTAAGAAATTCTCATGAATTTTCTGTATTAGATCAGAATTTTTTATTTTTTATTCCAGGTTATCAATTTGATACGAAACATGCGATTGCAACGCCCCAACGGTGAAATATGGAATATACTTCCTACGATTATCGAAATAATCGATATTTCTCACGATCGATTTTTAAGCAGCAAATATGGCGGAAAGGTGCACGTCTCATCTGTAAAGAAGGAAGCCAGAAAAATTATCCAGAAAGATCTTCCAGCAGTTCTCAGGTAAAAATATACGTCAATAGCTTTTAGATTAATGTTTGTGTTGTGAATTTTTAAGAACATGGATTTTTAGCTTCGACTCAAGGTAAGAGTTAACCAAATAATTATTACATATAATTTTTAACAATTAAAGAAATAATCGCATATAAACACTTAAACAGAACATACTATGCTAAAAGTTATTTTATATCAAAATTTAATTTCAATTCTAATCAGTAAAAATATTGTAACTTTGTAATTTACTAACTCATTATATACAGGGTGTTTTGTAATTTGTGGGACCCACTTCGGGAGCTGATTCAGTGAAAAGTATGGAAGATACAAAACTCTCTTCACGTTCATACATTTGCAGGAACCAAGTACCAAAAACGAAAGATATCAAGTAAGTATTATTTGTAAACAGTGCGAATTCTTGCTTATGAACTATTGCGGTCTATGGAAAGAGAGGCCGGACAGAGAGTTTGCTCCGTTTATAAAATTCATTATATCTCATAAAGGAAGACAGATAGGACATATTTATATGACTTTTTTTCATTATTTTTAAGCGTACAATCAGCTCCCGAAGTGGATCTCACAAGTTACGAAACACCCTGTATATACATATATTTTATTATATGCTTTTACACACATATTTCTATTACAACACTTTCTACTTATTTATTTAATTTATTCTTCTTTAACTTCTTTAACTTAATACTGCGTAATTTTTAATAATTCTAATACTAAATTCAACAATAATTTATTAAAATGTAAGTATTTAATAGTTAAAACAACAATTTTACTGCAAACATAATAAAATTTTCTATCTCAAGGTGTAGAAGGCCTTGAGGCTCGAAATTCGTAGTTCAAAACAACATAAACAGAGTGCTTATATGTGTATGTAAGGTTTTTAATATCGCACCTACTTTTTCGGCGTCACAAATAAACACTTCCGACTAAACGTGTCGAGAATGTATTCGTCTTATCGTACCTGTTCGTTCAAGACCACTCCATCCCCTACCATTTTCTCAATTGCATGACGAGACGTGTCACGGAGAGTCATTCAGCTTTCGAAGTTTGTGACAACAACACGTATTACGTCGCATTAGATTCGTAATCTCTTCTAACCATCGGTAGCGTCTCTTCGATAGCGTCGCTTCTTCAACACTCTTTTACTTCCATTTATATCTCATTAATAGTATCGTTTAATTAATACGCTTGTGTTTAATGAGCACATTAATTGAGCATTACGGTAATGAAGTCATGTAATACTTTGAAATTTTTCGCGTGGATTTTTCTTCAATCGTCGATTTCACTAGTACGATTACCGGTTTAGTTTATCTCGTACATTTCTTTTAGTAGAATTTGAGATGATTATCGTTTCATTTTTACACGTTTGCCTTCATTTGACATACATGTTTTATATTGTTCTAACTTTTGGTTTCTTTTTGTGCAGGTTGTTCCTTGATTCCAGAGATAGGATAGAACACAAATGCCACGATTGTTAATGGACAGTCTAATATTCTTTGACAGAAATTTGGTAATATTTTCATTTAGGTATACATAAACGATTGATGCGTAATTAAACAATTCAAAGCAAGATTTCACACGCGTTTTTCGTAATATTATTCCTTGAGACTACATTTCGCTGTATTTTGACTTCTGAAACATTTTTGAATATTTATAACACTTGACGTGATATATTATTAATTTGCATACTTCCTACTCTAATAACGAACATTCAGAATACAATACTCGTCTTTTATTTACAGTATTCAGTATTGAGATATATTTTATAATTTACAATTAATATCTTTAATATATATTCAAGTTTCTTTACAATCATGTTCTAGAAAAATAGTAGTATTTTCTAAATAAACGTATCTCTCCCCTTACTAATCAGTTTTATTTTCGAATATTTATTTTCAGATAGTTTTTGTGACCGCGAGCAAAGCGGTCGGTAGAGTCAGTTTGTTGCGAAGTATTTTCATATTTTTCTGAGCAAAATGGCTCTTGTTAAATTAAATAATTCATTCAAATTGTAATTCGCGAAATTAGAGCCAGTGAGTTCGTCGATTGTTACTTAAACACGCGCGTTGATAGTCTTATTTTTCTTTTTTTGTATTTTTTCTTGTTCGTTTTCGGTATTAGAGTCAGTGCTCAAGAGGATAAAGCTTCTCCTGGAGATCAAGATCGTAAGTATATATTGTATCCCAATTTATTCAATTTTTCAAATTTGACAACAAAGTATAATATTTGATGTTTGTTACAGACGCTTTACAATATCAACTTTTGCATTGGGGAAAATCCAACGATGGCTCTAAAGCCAAGAATGTAAGAATCTTTTATTATCTTCAACTTAAAATTTTGCTTCACTTTTAAATATAAATCCTAATGTTTAATGTTTTCTTACAGATCTTCTACAGTCTCCACTTCCTCTAAATCTCTAAGAATCTTATGATGCTTCAAAAGCTAAAAATGTAAGTACTTTAGCACGTTGTATTTAAATTTTATTCTCTATAGTTTTCTTTCTACTGAAATCAAATATAAAATTATAATTATAAAATAAAAGTATTCAAAATCATTGGTCCCAATTTTATCATTATTAAAATTTAAATTTTCACAAATAACATTGTATTTTTAAAAACAAAACATTCTATGTTTTTTTAAGCAATTTTTCATGGCGTTCACTATGGGATTATCAATCTACTTGATGAGAGTCTTCACGATAACTTTCCCTGCTCCAGTGCAGCATCAATGACAATGTTTTTCGCATCTATCGCGTGAGTCGCATGCATTTATGTTCCTCCGGTCACTCAATCATGTCGTAGGATGAAAGATTCGAATCGGCACGGGTGACTGGTTGTATACGTAGAATTTTTGAGCATAGTGACCGCGAGTATTTTTTGTACCCGTGAGTAGTGACAATTTTTTCAGGTTTTTTATGTATTAGATCAGGATAGGGCTTTTTGCACATCGCGATTTTAACAATTAGAATATATGTATTTATAGTAATTACTTATAAAATCAAAATATATTCAATATAAATGTTCGCAAAAGTAAAACATCCATATGAATATTCATATGAATAGATAAATTATAAATATTTATGAATAATTATTATTAAAACAATTTCGTTTGAGCATATTATAGTAGAGAAGA